CAGGCTGGATGCCATGTTCCAGGCAGTAGAGCTCCCAGCAGGCATTGCCGATCTGGACACCAGCCTGGCCAACGTGGATGGAGATGCACTCACGCTGTGAGACAGAAAAGAGCAAAATTGTAAAATTAGGTTGTGTTATCATTTTGAATTTTCAGTAGATGTCTAAAAATGTTTCTAGTTATATACAGGTATTCTTCAAATTTATTTGAAGTCATATCCCTAACACAATAAGGAAAATCACCTGCTACAAAAGCTACAGATGGGCGTGGCCTAAAAATGTTGCACTGTTCAGCACATAGTGCAAGCCCATTGTTCCCATGGCCATGCTTGAATAGAAGATTTTTTATTTTAAAAAAATATTGAATGCAAAGATTCTGTAGAATGAAGTTAAATTCAATCATTAATTGGAATCAATATTACTACCTCCTTCTCCTTTAAATACAGATGAGAATTTCTTTGAAATATGACTTGGTATTTCAACATGGACATCTGTACTGCAGCTGAGACTAGAAGCCACACCCTTTTGCAGTCTATCTGCAGAACCCATCTGTACTAGGGGTTTGGAAGCTAAACAAGGGCTGACTACTGCACTGCTGCATTGCTGTTTTTGCTGTGCCTGGTGCTAGTCTGTACTGTCTGCTACATTATTTAACAGAGCAAGCTCTATTTCCAGAAGCTGCCTACATGATCTCATTGTGCCATTCTGCCAGTTTTCCTGCTGAGCCAGGCTGGGACCATGTGCCTAAATTGAAATGAATTAATGAAATTTGCTAGAACAAAAGACAACTGGACACAGAGTATATTTTTTCTTTGTCTGCATTCATTTCATTACTTTTTAAAAATTTCTCCAGAACAACAAAATAGTACGTATTTTCATTAGTTCGATTCCCCACCCACCACAGTATGTTCATACTCATCACATTCAATAGATATTTTCTTCTCTATGATCTTGATGGCTACCACCTGCATTGTCTATCCACTGACATATTGGGGCGGGGGGAGAGTGCGTTTCCCTGGGTCCTGGGCGTTAGGGTATCCAGGTTCACAAAGTGGTCTTTCTCCCTCACTGAACGTGTGGCCAAGACAGGCAAACACACACAGTCAAGTCCGTCAGGGCTGGGTAGCCCCGGACCAGACATTAAAGGGCTTGTCAAGTGAACTGTGATTTTGCTTCTGAAGAAAAAATATTTCATCTAAGTTTTAGCAGTGAATGAAAAACCTTGTAAAGCCTATAGTTCCACAATGATGAAAGACTTATTAAAAGTCTTCTCCTGACAGAAGAGGTTTAGCGAGAGCGAACCCCGCCCAATGGCTCCAAGGCCAGAGAAGCCTGAAACAAACAACTCCGCCCCTGCGCCGCCCTGACGCCGGCTGCCCCCGGCTCCAACAGAAACAAACTACTTTTCTCCCGTTAATGCGCGGGTATCTTTCTAAAATGCCAACGAACCGGCAAGGGAACTTTTTTTTCTTTCTTTGGTAACCCAAGGCTCCGCTGTGTCTCAGTCGTCCACCTCTCCCCACTCCCCCCAGCCAAACCCACAGACCCCTGGTCTTCTGGGGCGACGCCTCTTCTCCCTGCCCCTGGGGAACGCGAGGAAGAAAAGAGCCTCTCCGAGTCACACGAATACAGTGTGCACACACACTGGGGCCGGCAGGAGACGCCACGATCCCCTTTCCCTGCCCCAGACCCTTTCATCACCGACAGATGGGCTGCTTGCGCCTCTGAAAGGCTCGGATAACAACCCCCTCCACGCCGCCTTTGTTCTTTCCCATGGTTCTGCCGCGCCCTGGGCGCAGCTTTTGCCGAGCTCCTGCACCCCGCAGTGCGGCAGCGGCCCGGCTCAAGGATTTGGGGCAGACAAAGCTTAACCTCTCCAACAAAGCGTAAGGCTACCTATCCTTACCCAAAAAAGTTGTAAAAGAAAAACGGCTTAAGACTTTCCAAGCAGACCCTGCAGGACTGACCCCACCCAACGACCACAAAGAACCAGAGAAAACATCTTCTTTCTTACCATGGTTGCTGCTTTGCGGCTGCCTGGTGGATCGCTGAGAGGAAGAGGTTGTTGCTTCTTACAGCGCGACTCTTAGGCGGTCGATGTAAGAGAACNTTGCTGTCCTTTTGTTCTTCAGTCTAGTTGTGGAGGATGTTGCTTCACTGGCCCATGTTGGTATTATCATTGTGCTCTTCCCGGGTGAGGCAGATGGATCGCTGGCCTCTGGATGGCCGCTCACGGTGGCTCTTGGCAGCGCACACCGGCTGCCAGCCACACACAATAGCTTATGGCAGCCCACTGCAGCAGAGGCTGCAGCCTACGCTGTCACCAGCGACTCACTGCAGCCCAGCTCCAGGTCGAGCTGTTGTTCAACATCTTAGCTGCAGAGTGCAGTGGCCCTCATGTGGGATCTGAACCGGGGCCCTGCTGCTCAGACCTGGTGTCCCAAGCCAACTCTTAACCAACATGCTACTCGGCTGGCCCGAGTTCCTTTTTTCTTTAAAATATATCTCAGTATGGATAGTCAAATTACTGTGTTTTAAAGTCTTGTGAAAATAATTCCTATTGGTAGGTAAGCCACTAACTGGATACTTGGTTAGATTAATTTGCTTCATTTTGCTGAATTTTTAGATATTTTTCCACCTTGATGTAATTCTTTATATTGTAAGTTACATGTTTCTGTACTAAAATGATACAACAAATACATTTAAAGTTTAGTTAGACTATGTTCCCTCCCCCTATAGGTAATCATTTTTTTAGTTTTTGATTTATATTTCCATTGTTTGGTTTTTAACTTGTGGTAAACATGAAATTTACCATTTTAACCCTTTTTAAGTGTACAATTCAGTATCATTATGTATATTTGCCTTGTTTTGCAACCATCACCACTATTCATCTCCAGAACTTTTTCATCATTCCAACTAAAACTCTGTTAAATAGCTTTCCATTTTGTCCTTGCCCCCCAGTCCCTGGTATAACCACTATTCTATGCGCTATTCCATGAATCTAACTATCCTAGGTACCTCATCTAAGTAGTATCAGGTAATATTAGAAGCTTTGTTCTTTAAAGTTAATGGCATATATTAAAATAAGAATATTCTTGGGAGTTAAAATTCAGATATACCAGGGATGCCAAAAAATGTATACACATGACTTGTATTCATCTTTTGTTATTGGTATATATTATTACAATTTTAAGTTTTTTCCTTTCTTAAAATATGTATACATTTTTTTGGCACCCTCTGTATAATTAATGTGAATAAATTGATCAGGCTTTTCCATTGTCACATTCAGCCGAAAATAAGTTTGGAAGAAAGAAGTAGGTCTAGTATAGGGAACAGTTGCTTGGATAGAGCAGACTTCTTTTGAGAACCCAGAACAGAGGAAGCATGATGGCACTAGACACATGCCAAAGAGATGAGGGGGCATGAAAATAAGCTTGTAAGACCTGATGATGCATTTGGAATACTCACCATTTTATGTTAGCTGTATGACACTCAGCAGCCAATCAGTCCTTTGGCAGTGTATTAGCAAATATCAGTTCTAAAAAATACCAGCATTTTAAGTACTATTATAATGGAGTCAAAACTTAAGAATAGCATGGATGTTATGATAGTGTTTAGATATACATATTATAAATTTTAGAACATACTAAGACCATGTAAAATTATCATAATATATGTATATGCCACCATCAGCAGTTAATTCTTTCTTCTCAATGTACTAACTTTTTTCAGACACCCAAATAGAAAACACAAGTCTGAGCTCATTTAAGACAGGGAATACTTTATTCAAACCCATCAGAGAAATGGACAGGTTAGGTCTGTAACAAAGTGTTGTTTTAAAGCATAGGCCAGTAATTGTATATGAGAGTATACACTGCTACATACAAATTCACTGTTCAGACCACAGCTTTTCAATGTTTAAAACAGAATAAGCTTCCCTGTAAAAGCAGCACCTTTGTGACACATTAACTTTAGTATTCCTCTCCTTCTTCCTCACCTTCTCCTTCAACAGAATCAACACCAACCTCCTCATAATCCTTCTCAAGGGCAGCCATGTCCTCACGGGCCTCAGAAAACTCTCCTTCCTCCATGCCCTCACCCACGTACCAGTGAACAAAGGCACGCTTGGCATACATCAGGTCAAACTTGTGGTCCAGGCGCGCCCAGGCCTCAGCAATAGCTGTGGTGTTGCTCAGCATGCACACAGCTCGCTGTACTTTGGCCAGGTCTCCACCAGGTACCACAGTGGGAGGCTGGTAATTAATGCCAACTTTGAAGCCAGTGGGGCACCAGTCCACAAACTGGATGGTACGCTTGGTCTTGATGGTGGCAATGGCAGCATTGACATCTTTGGGAACCACATCACCACGGTACAACAGGCAGCAAGCCATGTATTTACCATGGCGAGGGTCACATTTCACCATCTGGTTGGCAGGCTCAAAGCACGCATTGGTGATCTCTGCTACAGAAAGCTGCTCATGGTAGGCTTTCTCAGNTTCAGATCCCACATGGGCCAGTGATGCTGCGCCCTCTACAGCTAAGATGGTGAACAACAGCTCGACCTGGAGCTGGGCTGCCATGAGCTGCCGTGAGCCACTGATAGCGGCCGTCCAATGGCCGGTGACCAATCTGCCTCAGCTGGGAAGAGCGCAATGATCACAATACCAACATGCGCCAGGGAAGCAAAATCCTCCACAACTAGATTGAAGAACAACAGGACAGCAACTTGTCTGTTCCCCTCCCCCTATTCCTCAATGCTGTTTCCTCCCCCAATTCCCCAATAAAATCTTAAAAATAATACAGTAACTTTAAATTTAAATAAATTATTGCCATTAATCCCCTCAAAATACTCCCCCTCACTTCCAACACACTTATCCCGCCATTCTTGCCACTTTCTGAAGCAGTTCTGGAAGTCCTGTTTCATGAGTGTCTTTACTTCATTTTCCATCATGACAGCATTCTGTGTCACACATTGCTTCTGGTACGGCAATTTCTGTCAAATAAAAACATTACAGTGTGTCTTCATCTAATTCACCGGATCTGGCACCGTTGGAGTTGACTCTTCCCCCAAGTCAAAATGACCATGAAAGGTAAACGTATTGAATTGATTCAGGACATTGAGGCAGCCACGATAGCACAGCGAAACACACTCACAAAATAGGACTTCCAGAACTGCTTCAGAAAGTAGCAAGAACGATGGGATAAGTGTGTTCAAAGCAAGAGGGAGTATTTTGAGGGGGATTAATGGCAATGTGTCTTTTACTATAATAAACTTCTAATTTAAACATTCACCGTATTTTGTGATCACAGTTTGTATGAGGTGCATCTGGGGCACAGCAAGATGATGTGGATAACCTCAATGCCACATGGCAGGCACTAAAAATTATATAGAACAGGGCTGGATGGATAGGGGTACTGGTTTGTGACACACCCCAGAGAAGGGGAAAACACCTTACATATTTGTCCAGGGTTGGGCAATGGCCTGTCCCTGCGTGGGGCATAGAGGAGGGGTGCATCAGACAGTCTCTGAGGACATTTACGGAAAGCAATCTCTGTTATGGATCAGATCTAGCTCAAGGGCCCAGCAGCGTCAAGTCATAGAACAGTCTCACCTCCACAGGGAATGGGACTTATTTAATGGGTATAGAATTTTAATTTTCCAAGATTAAAGAGTTCTGGAGATTGGTTGCACAACCATGTGAACGCACTCACTGCTACTGAACTATATACACTTAAAAATGGCTAAGATGGGGGCTGGCCAAGTGGCTCAGTTGGTTAAGCGTTTGCCCAGGAGTGCGAGCTCTGAGCAACAGCGTCACCGGTTCGATTCCCACATGGGCCAGTGACGCTGCACCCCGAGCTGAGCTGCCAAGAGGTGGCAGGATGGCTCAACTGGTGGGAGCACGTGCTCCTAACAACAAGGCTGCCAGTTTGAATGGTGGGCTATGCCCACCCTCAACTAAAAGACTGAACTCAGCACCTAGAGCTGAGCTGCTGCCTGGGTGGCTCAGGGGATACAGCACGCACTCTTAACAAGGCTGCTGGTTCGACTCCCACATGGGATGGTGGCTACGCCCACCTGCAACTAATTGTGAACACAGCACCTTGAGCTGAACAGTGCGACTGGACTTGCACCCTCCACAACTAAGATTGAAGGACAACGTGGCTCTTCCCCTTCCTGAATTCCCCAACACTGTTCCCCTCCCCTAATTCCCCAATACAATCTTTAAAAAAAAAAAGGCTAAGATGGTAAATTTTATGCTGCGTTTTACCATTATTAAATATAGAGTAAATAAATATATAAAATGTTTAACATTATATAATGCAAATCTTAAAAATATCTTTTAGATTTATAAAATTTATTTTAAATTTAGTTATCACTGTATTTTATGTTGAAAGCAGTTTATAATTGAGAAAGTATACCAAAAGGTTTAGTCTCATTCTTAAAGCTTTACAGACTGTCTAAAAATGCTGTCAACTTCAATGTGCTTGCTTTTTAAATTTTTTTTTAGTTGTTCCATTTTGAATAATTTTTGTCTTCATTAATTTTTTTCTTCAGTGTCTAATGTACTGTTAATACCAGTCAGTATTTTTTTTAATCTCATATATATTTTTCTTCTCTAGAATTTTGATTTGGATTTTTTCTAATACCGTATCTCCACTTAAAATTCATCCATGTTTTTGAACATTGATATAATTATAACTTTCAAAGTTTTGTATACTAATGAATAACTAATGAATTATTTTATTGTAGAAATAGCTCAAAATATTATTATTACTAGCAACATGATTATTGAAATTGTTTTTGTTTTTTGTTTTTTTAGTTCCCTTTTTCTTTTTTTTTTTTAAAGATCTAATTGGCTTTATTCAACGATTCATGAATCAGGCAGTATCCCACCTAATAAGTAGGAAGGTGCTCCAAGGAGTTGTACAAAACGTAAGATTTTTATTTTATTTTTTTTCAAAG